GACGCATGACGTAAGTGACACAAGTGGGGAATCATGAATGGAAAAGGCGAAAGGTTGGTCCTAGGGGGGGGGTTGCCATATATATATATACCGTGATGATGAACCTCACTGCATTTCTCAGTGCTGTTCTGCTTACTATCCGTGTTCACCTGCGGGTCAAGTGGGGTCACAACACCGTTTGCAGCATTTCGGAGCATATTCTTCAATGCTGGCCGTGCAAGCACAGTGCACGGAAACCAAGCGGGTCCTCGCAAGTCACGGTACTGGGCACATCTCAACACTCGGAAGTTTCATCCTCTGACGTGGTGTGAAGCATTGTAATTGGAGTAGGCTTTGAAGCAAGCCTCGAAACTCGTCGAGACCATGTAGAGTTCTAAGTTCTAAGAGATTACACAGGAAAATGCATTGACCCCTCGAAGCCCAACAGGAAAGGCAAAGACAACACAAAAAAGGCACCAGGCAAAACCGTTTTCCCCTTAAACAGTACAATCAGTAGGATGGTTGCTTTGGCTTGCCGGCTCTGAGGTTTTTGTGGTCCATCCGGGAGGGTTGGGCTGGACTTTCCAAGAGCGCACCCAGTGACGCTCCGCATCGAGCACTGCAGCCAGCGCAGCCAACAACCAGGAAGCCTCCTGGACCCATTCTGCACCTTGGCCCCACCCATACTGTAGTCCTTTTAAAAGTTGTGGCAAGAAGCCATTTGCAATAGAACTGACCGGCACCTGGTCGCAACGCCAAATCTGCTAATGAATATGGCAGACGCTGTGTGCCTAGGTGGACTTTAGAGCGGCTGGGCTGGAATGAGCGCGGCGCACGCGCCTTGCGCACAGCGCCGAGCTTGGAGGGTCACTCAAAAATCTACCGACCGAAGGCAAACATGTAAGTTTGAAGTCCGCAATTTTCTTACTTGGCTCGAGGTATTCAGAAGGAATGTAGGCAACACCCCCTGCCCAGACCTTTCTGTTTAGATGACGAACTTCATAATTGCGATTGCTGCCCTTGCTTTGCCTCTGGCCGCTGGGCTAGAAGCAGATGCCTTCGGCTGCCAAGATTCCACCAGCTGTCAGCAAGGAACTTCATTGTTGCAGCACGGCTCTCGCAAAGTTGAGTCGGCCAATCGTCAGGGCCAGGTCATCAAGGCGACTGCTGACCCTACAAAGTTCCTGGATTGGGCGGTCAACATCGATGCCAACGGTCGCTCATGTGCTCTTTGCGGTCTGCCGCCTCAAGAGCGTGCGCCCAACAACACCTATGTGCAGCGCACTGACTGTGGCAACCAAAGCCTGTACGAGCACCCGGATAAGGTCTTTTTGCCTTTGAGCAGCTTCATGAAAGAGGCCACAGACGAGCACAACGAGACCTTTGGCTGGTGCGAGCTAAATTCGGAAAAGGGTTGTGCTGATGCGATCTACAACAAGGACTACCTGATGTTTGCCAAGTCTGTCCAGCTACCGAGCCTACCCATTGTTGGCTACAAGACCATGGCGTATGACCAGCAGTATTGCCTCCACAACGGTTGGCTGGCCCCGGAGATCAAGGCGTTGCAGCACGACTACGAGGGCATGACTGCAAAGGGCAAGGAGTATTGCAACTCTGATCTTCTCGTCAGCCTTGGCTCGAAGGGCAACATGACTCTGATAGACATGATTGAGACCTACTTGATTGACCTGCCCGGCTTGCCTATCAGCCGCCCATCCCCGGAGCATGCGCACTTCATGGCTGCATGGACTTGTGCCATGGGCAGCTCAGCGTGTGACATGACCTACTGCGCGTACAGCTTCTGCGTGCAGGACGATGGCAGCATCGGAACCTATGATGAATGCCCCGGTTGGGACCCTGTCAAAGGCATGCCAGTAAATTAGCACTGGCGTGCAAACCCGAATGTCATCTTCCAACTCCTTTGTGCAACTATGTGCAGAGCCATGCTGCTTGCAGGATGCAATTTTGACTGCTTGCAGAATGCTGGTGGGATGCAAAAAAGGAGGTGGTGCAATGCTGCCATGCTCACGTTCCTGTCCATGACTTGCATGGCTGCGATGCACGCTGCTTCCACGCACAATATTTGTGAGATCCAAGGTCCTGAAGTGGAATGCAAATCCTGATGAGCTGGACCCTAACAGGCAGATTTGCAGAGATCTTGGTTTGAGTAGAAGAGCATCTGAAGATATCTGCATAGCGATTTTAGACGGCGAGATGAGCACAGGAAGCTTCATCTTTATGGATGTCTTTGCAAGTGGGTGTCTTCCTTATCGGAACCTAGCATTACGATGCACTTTTTTGAAATGGTTTCTGCAAAAGGGGGTCCTTAGATTTTGAACCCCTGTGTGGATTCTGGATGTCACCACAACTGCATGACCTTCTGCTGGCTGCAAGTCTTAACCCTACTCCCGGTTAGCAAGGAATGAAGTTATGGATCCTAGTAGTGGTCCCTATATAAGGGGCCCCATCTAAAATCGTGCTAAAAATGTAGTTTCCATGTTCTTTTCCGTTCCTTCATTCCCTGATGACAATTAAGGCTAATTAAGGAGCCTTGCAATCCCTGCGAGGTGGACCCCGCTGATTTGGGCAGCACACCTGGGGTCCGTGGCCATAGGCCGTGGCCAGTTTGCAAGTCACTTGGGTTTGGGGTTGTTTGGGGATACAGACGGGGCCCTATATTTGGATAATGGAAAAGAACATGGAAACTACTATTGGTTTATGTATATATGTACATTAGGGTTACATATTATGATATATTAGGGTTATATTTTCTATTGCATCAAATAGCCACAAAGGTATCCAGACTGCAGCATTCTGACAGCTGGTCATGCATAGCTTGCTTCTGGATTGGGGGCTCCTAAGGCTTACTTCTTCGTGCCGGTGCGAATCCTGATCACATTGGGGCCGAGGCGCGGCGTTACCCTCCCTTGTCTGTCTGTCCCCAATTTTGATTTCACTGTCCATTCTCATTTCCGTTTGATCCTCCCCTCTTTCCCCAAGTTTGCTTGTCGTTGTCCATTCTGATCTCCATTTGATGTTCCATGATCCCTACACCCAGGGTACCGCGTAATCTGCATGAAAGAAAGCTGGGACGAGAGAAGTTCCTAGGCCCCCCTGCTTGCAGATTGCAATGGACAGCAAATAGAATCGTAAACACCGTCCACTGCTTAGGGTGCTATTCCCCAAAACACTTCTTTTTTTGGAAAAAATTGGACAAATAATATGGGACCCGAAAAGAACTGTGAAAAGTAATATGGATCCTCAAAATGATGTGACAACCATGTGAAAATAATTGAATCAGACGGAGAAAATCAAAGAAAAACACCAAAATCATCAAACAAGCGCGCGTTTTTTGCATTTATTTCGCATGGCGGCAAGTGCACAAAACCAGGAATTGTAGATGAACGTGAAAAATGTGAAATAGATGTGCAAATATCTGAAAAAGCCTGAGAAATCCACGAAAACCACTAGACAAGTACGTGTTTCCGCATTTAATTCACATTTATTTCACTTTTATGTCGCATTTTCCCTAGAGCCCTCTCAACTTTCTGATTTCGGTCACTTGCCCGGACGGGCCCACTCAGTGCCCGCCGGAAGTGATGCTTTTGTTTGTTTCCAGGTACGCGACGGCAAATGGGCAGCACCACAGTGGTGCGATTTCCATACAAACCTGATGTCGTGGGCCCTCTGTCCATTTGTTTGCTTTTTCCAGGTGGCAGTCGTAAATGCGGCAAGAACGTTCCTTGGAGATCAAGCTACCACCGTTATTGTCCTGGAATTCCTAAAGTTGAGGTTCCCCACCTACTTGCCTGGCTGACAAGATGGCATTCAAAAACGATGAATGTAAGCCCTTGTAGGGCTGGGGATTGGCTTTTAGGTTTTGAAGGTTTAGGTTTGTCAACAGAACTTCCTTCGTCAGGTACTCTCGCCGACCGCAGGACCTCAGCTCGAAGCTCAAAGGAGAGCCTTGCAGTTGCCCCAGGCGGGGCTTCCGGTGTTTTATGATTGGTAGCGGAGCCGGGCATAGGCTCGGCTCCAGAAGCTACCTGGCCTAGGAAGGCCTCTAGTGTAGCTAGCTAGCCACAGGGCCATGGCATCCTCTGATGAACGCGGCATGAAGCGGTTTAGTGGTGATGACGGCGATGATGCCGGGAAACAGCTGCGCAAGTTCAAGAACTGGGCAGAAGCGAAGCTTGTCACCATGAAGGACATGTCTGACAAGCAGAGAGGCCCATGGATCTACACCCTCTTGGATGGTCGTGCCCTCGAGGCAGTTGAACACTTGACCCTAGAGAATCTCATGAAGGAGACTGGTGCTGATCATCTCTGGAGACTTCTTGGGGCCCGATTCCCGGAGAAGGAGTCCGAGGATCAGATGGGAGAGGCTCTGGGTGAGGTGTTTGGCTTGTGTGCCAAAGACCAGGAAACCATGCAGCAGTGGTCTGCCCGGGTCAACGAGGTCCTTCAGAAGTGTATCAGAAAGGCCAAGGTGGAGTTCCCATCGCAAGCGCAAGGGTGGATCGCCTTGAACTGTGCCGGACTGAGCGAGGAGCAAAAGGCCATAGTGAAGGCCAAGACCCAAGGGAAGCTCGAGATCGACACGGTCACGGCGGCTCTTCGGTCATGTTTTCCTCAGTACCGGGCGAGCGCATCAAAGGCGCGAAGGCCAGTGAGTACTTACTTGGCTGAAGCAGATGAGGCAGGTATCCCGGAAGATGACGGAGACAGCTTTCAGGATGTGGAAGCGTTCCTCGCTGATCACGGTCTTGAAGCTGGGCAAGAAGAAGCTGAAGAGTTTCAAGAAGAGGAAGCTGCCGAAGCACTAGCAGCCACCTGGAAGGAGCGCCGAAAGGAGATGAGCAAGCTACAACAACGCCGTGGCTTCCATCGAGGCGCGCCTGATCAGGCAAAGCGCAGCTTCAGGATCGAAGTCGAAGAGTTAAAGAAGAAAACTCGATGCCGCCGATGCCAAAAGTTTGGGCATTGGGCTCGAGAGTGCCAATCGGTTCAACAGCCAGCAAGCAGCGTCTTCGACTTCGGCATCGACAACGACTGCCGATGTACACCTCGTTCAGGAAGAGTACTCCTTCGTTGGTGCCGTTCAGGTCGAGCCCAGCGAGCACGAGCCCAGCGAGCAGTTCTACGTGGCCACGGACCAGCCGGACTTTGAGAACCTGGGTGCTGGCCTGGTGTCATCACCGGGCTTCGGAGTCATTGACTCCGGGTGTGGTCGCACTCTGATTGGCAAGGACACATTGCAAACCATGACAGATCTTCTTCAAAAGTACGGCGATCGCAGACCCCAGATCTATGAGAGCATCAGCACTTTCAGGTTTGGCAATGGTCAGACGGAAACCTCGACCTCAGCGGTCAGGATCCCGGTGGGCATTGCCAAGAAGGTGGGCCTCATCGATGCGGCCATTATCGAAGGCAAAGCTCCTCTTCTTTTAGGCCGTCCAACGCTGGAACGACTCAATGTGGTTCTGGACTTCAAGGCTAAGGAGATGGGCTTCCTGGCGCATCCCGATGCAGTGCCCATGTTCACCAATGATGCTGGACAGCTCCTGATCAACCTCCTGGATTTTCCGACGCCATCCACCTCGAGAACCGCATCAGCCAGTTCGACTTTGTGTGCCATGGTCCATAGGGATAAGATTCAGGGTGAAAATGGTATTCAAGAACAACAGGTTTTGCAGCCTAGTGGTTTCCAGGGTCAGTTGTTAGAGCCCCATAAGGTTGACATAGGTGAGAGTACCCCATGCAGAGGTGACCAAAGCGGTCAAAGTCCAGAAGCAGTGCCATGCGCACCGTTGGATGCAACCAGCATTCCTCCGCCCCCGACTCCTCATTCCCTTAGAGACCCTAATCCTAAGCCACGTAAGCCCCGAACTAAGATAACCCTAAAGGATAAAGAATGTCGATGCCTCCTTGCACAGGTCAAGAAGCAGCATGGACGTGCTGAAAGTCAAACAGCCGTGGCAGAGCTCTTCTGCCCACCACGTTTCGCAGAGGCAGCACGGGCGCAAGGGGGTACAGGGTTGTCTTTCGACATTAGGCAGGGTTGTGATCTTATGGACCCCAATATTCAAAGGGATGTAGGTGACCTCCTAGACACCGCTGCCCCAGAGCTGTTAGTTGCTTGTCCCCCGTGTCGCTACTGGGGTGGTTGGGATCACTTGAACAGGTGTTTTCGGACCCCTACTGAGCGTGCTCGCCTGATTCGCACTGCACGTGCACAGGTCAGGTTTTGCATTCGGGAGATTCATAGGCAACTTAAGCGTGGCGGGGACTTCCTTTTTGAGCACCCCTTAGGATCTAGTGTGTGGAAAATGCCAGAACTACAATCCCTCAAGCGTAGGTTTGGCCTCCATAGGGTTGATATGTGCGCTTACGGCCTTAAATGTCCTGATACTGGCCTGCCAATCCAGAAAGCCACCGGCCTGATTGCCTCCAGTGATCAGATAATTAAGGTTGCGCGTAGGTGCCCGGGATGTCCCCAGCATCGCACTATTCAGGGTCAATGCTCTTCGGGGCCCCTTAGTGATTTTGCTGGCCGTTACACCCCCAACTTTGTTCAAGCTTGCTGGCAGCATCTGGGCCCTGCAAGTCAGGCCACGTCTGTTGCTTTTGCGGAGCCCATAGACTGGGAAGCGCTTGCTTGTGAGTGTTTGGTTGGGGATGAGCAGCCACAACCAAACGCAGCGGCGGCTGAACCGGACCCGGCCGAAGTGCGCCGAGTCAACCAGGCTCTGAAACGTTTGCATTCCAATTTGGGCCACCCTTCGGAACGAGAGCTGTTGCGCATTCTTCGTCACAGTAAGGCTTCCCCGCTAGCTCTTCAAAGAGCAACACTGTTGGAGTGTTCCGTGTGCGCAAATCAGCGTCGACCGAATGCCCCGTTGCCGGCAAATGCCTCACGGGTTGCAGAGTTTAACCAGAAAGTAGGCCTTGACGTAAAATATTTACCAGGGTGGCAAGAAGGACAGAAGATCCCCTTTGTTAACATGGTTGACTATGCAACTTCGCTTCAGGTTGTCACCCCAATATTTAAGCGGGAAACTGGGGAGTTGCTTAGAGCGGCCGTTCGTGATAGGTGGCTACCATGGGCTGGACCCCCTGAAGCTATTGCACTTGACCCCGCTAAGCCCAACGTAGGTGAAGTGTTTGGGGACTTCTTGTCAAATCAGGGCATCAACGTAGAGCAGACCGCTACAGGTTCTCCGTGGCAGTTGGGAAAGGTTGAGCGTCATGGGGGTTGGTTACAGAGCATTTTGCAACGTGTGCTAGATGAAATTAGGCCCACTAGTCAGGAAGAGTATCTCACGTGTGTTGTGCAAGCACAATCAGCCAAGAACACTCTCCTTACTGAGGCCGGAGCAAGCCCCTATCAACTCGTGTTCGGACGCAATCCAAGGGTTCCCACAGACCTCCTGCAAGAGCAGCCCCACTTGGCAGCTTCCGACGCAGTGGAAGCAGATCCCCTCATGAGGCAGGCACATACAGTGCGACAGGCAGCACGCCGTGCCATGCTTCAGTGCCAGGATGACCGTGCTTTGCGCGCGGCCCTTCGGGCCAGACCTCGGGTGCATCGTGTGTTCCGGTCCGGAGATTGGGTTTACTACTGGCGCACACAGAAGTCAGTAGAAGGGTCTAGGGTTGAAGGGGGTAGATGGTATGGGGCGGCTATGGTTCTAGGCAACATTGGGAAGAACTTAGTGGTAGCACACAAACGGTCCATCATGCGATGTTCGCCGGAGCAAGTTCGACCCGCCACGGCAGACGAAGCCACTGTAGCTGATTTTCCAGAGAACGAGCTGCTAGGGATCAAGAACCTACTTGAAAAGGGCCAGTTTCCCCGCAGTCAGTTCATTGACCTAGTCAATCAACCCGATGCCCCAGTTCCCCTTGAAGCTGACGTAGACATAGGGCATCCCTCAGAACACCCCCCTAATGTAGCTTTGGATGCAGCACGGGTGTTGGAAAATCAGCGACCACCTCGCCTGCAGCAGATTTTGCCAGAGCGGCCACCGCTACCGCCAGATTCTGGGCCAAGTTTTCCATCAGTTCCTGCAGTCCCTCCCGAGAATCCTCCAGAGGAGAATCCGCCGGTCTATGGACCTCAGAGACGTGTTCCACGCAAGACCAATCCTCAACAACTGTGGATTAGGCCTGCCGATACGCAGCCTGAAGATTTCCTGGAGTTGATGCAAGAAGTTGTTCCCAGACTCATTCAGGATCTTGATCGGTCAGCCTCGGGTGCCTCAGCGGCCCCAACGTCTAGTGGATCCAGCATCAGCCCCAGGAGTCACAGTGCCAAACGTGAGGCCAGTCAAGAGCCTCCTGAAGCTCCTGCATCCTCCCGTCCTCGTCCGGATGATACAGATGAAATCCTGTGTGCTGAATACATCCAGTCTCACGAGCATTTGCATAACAGTCATGTGGAAGTCCTCATGGCAGCCTTCCTGCAGAAACGGATGCAAAAGGAGCTGCCTGTGACAGGCAACGAGCCGGCTTTGCAAGACCGCATTGAGGAAGCCAAGAGCCTAGAGTGGGAAACCATTCAGGGCAAGTCTGCAATGCGTGTGTGGCGTGGAGCCAAAGCTCGGGAGATCAGGCAAAAGTTCCCAGATCGGTTCATCGGAACAAGGTTTGTCGTGACCAATAAGGTCGAAGATCAGGATGAACGTATCAAAGCACGCCTGTGTCTCCAGGGCCACAAGGACCCTGACTGGGGTGCCAAGATCGCGTCAGGCGAGTGTCACTCACCGACTCTCAGTGGTTTAGGTAGGGCCTTGTTGCTTCAACTGCTTGTGTCCAACCATTGGGTCATGAATCTCGGTGACATTCGTGGCGCTTTCTTAGAAGCCGGTCCCCTGCCTGAACGCTATCGTCCTTTGTACGCAGAGCTACCAGAGGGAGGAATCCCTGGACTGGAAAGCAGTGCCGTGCTAGAAATAACTGGCAACATGTATGGTGCCAACAACGCACCTCAAGAATGGTATCGCACCTTCGACGAAGCCGCTCAGTCCGTGGGTTTTGTCCGGTCGTCTTTCGACAATTGCCTCTATTTCTTTCGGGACTCCAGTAATGTGTTGCAAGGTGCTCTAGGGGCACACGTAGACGATACCATGACCCTCAAACATAGATTTCCTTATAGAAAGTGGAGGGTGGGGACTGGCGAATTTTGCGGCGTTTTCTACTCTCAAGACCTCGCCTCGTTCGAAATCTCGTACCAGCAACAAGAGTATGCCAAGCATCTCCGACCCATCAACTTGTCGAGAGAACGGCGGCAGGATCGAGAGTCCAAGGCAACACCCAAGGAGGTGGCAGCCTTGAGAGCTGTGAATGGGGCCGCGAACTGGCTGAGCAGTCAATCCAGACCTGATCTGGCCGTGCAGACTTCGTTCAGTCAGCAGGTGTTTCCAGAGCCCCGTGTGAAAGATTTGCTTTCTGCAAATCAGCTTGTTCAGAGAGCTCGCCAGCATTCGGAGGTCAGCGTCACAGTTCGGGACATCCCGATGCAGGATCTCGCTGTAGCCTTCCATAGTGATGCCGGGTTTGCCAATGCTAGGGCTAACGGCACCCAGGCCGGGTACATCTTAGCCTTCGTCCACAGGGATCTTAATCATGATAAAGATTCCCCATGGTCCCCTTTCGCTTGGAAATCGTATAAGATGCCTAGGGTAGTGGCATCCACCTTAGCGGGTGAAACGCAGAGCTTTGCAGCAGCCAGTGGACTAGCCGAGTGGGTTAGCCTGATGCTTTGTGAGGCAGTTGGTGGGGTTTTTGACCTTCGGGAAGCTAGTCTTCACCTCCGTAAAGTCCCCATAATCGGCATCACAGACTGCAAGTCGTTGTACGATGCTCTGCACTCTCCGTCTTCCCCATCAAAGGCGGAAGACAAGCGAGTAGCTATCGACCTAGCTGTAATCAGACAAAGCATGGACAGAACGAACATGCAGGTTCGGTGGTGTCCCTCAGAACTTATGCTTGCAGACGCACTCACCAAAGACCAGGCAGATCCGGCAGACCTGCTTAGAGCAGCACTTGCTTGGGGAAGGTACCACCTTTCCTCCGAGGCCACCGTTCTGGCCCAGAAGAAAAAGGCTCGGGAAGACCGCCAGCATCGGAGCCATGTTCGTATGAAGCAACTGTCTGACATCATTTGACTGGTGGTCCCATGCGTGCAAGCAAGTCCTTTTGTATAGTCTGAACCGTGTAACCAGGGTTCGTCATAATTAAGGGTAACTCTTCGGAGTTGTGAATTTAGGTCTTGGCCGTGGGTTCCCAGGTTCGTCCCTGTGTGATGGCCGTACGGCATGTATAGTGTTTTTCCCCAAAGGTGTATAGTCCCCAGGGTTGATTGGATCCTCTTTGTATAGTGCACAGTTTCCTGCATCCCCGTGCGGCCCTCAAGCTGTGACAACGTGCATTATCTGTAGTGCCCGGCAGTGGATGTGTAGGACTTGTCTCGACATGTCCGAGCAACCTTCAAAGGACATCGCCCGTCAGATGAAGGAGCTCTTGCACCAAGCAGTAGAAGAAGAACGCCTCAACGAGGTCATGCAGGTGATCAATGGTCCCGATTCTGCCTCCTCCAGCACAACATCAGGACCCATGCCTGGTGCTATGACGGATGCTGCCAAGCGTCTTCGAAGCGATGATGGATGGGATCTGGTCACCGCTGTGCATGCTGGTGCAACCAGGCCTGGGAATACCAAGCAGCTTCCTGTTCGTCCGAAGGCTGCTGTGAGGACAGCCGCTGCTCCTCCTCCTGGACGTCAAGGACTCCCAGATGGAGTTCACTCCGTCGAGGAGTGGGGCCGCACAGTCTGTGAGCTTCCCAAAGTGGCTAAGCGCAACCAGTCCTACCAAGAGCTCGTGGCTGCCGCTCCTGGCGAGGAGGAGCTGCGCAAGTACTTGCTGAAGTACGTGCTCACCTACAAGGGTACCAGTGTCAAGGTTCATGATTTGCGCCGCTACCTTGAGCATATCCACTACGAGCAGCTGACGGCACCGGCACGCACCTACATGCCCGGCAGCACCACGGTGGAGCGCAAGCTGAAGTGAACTGACTTCAAGTCTAGTTCGAGGATGTGCGGAGTCACATCTTTTGTTTCCGTATCAAATCCTTCGCAAGGATCAGATTTCATTCTGATGCTGACTGAGATCAGCAAAAGAAACATTTCAGATTTGAAATAGAGGGAATGTCAACAGAACTTCCCTCGTCAGGTACTCTCGCCGACCGCAGGACCTCAGCTCGAAGCTCAAAGGAGAGCCTTGCAGTTGCCCCAGGCGGGGCTTCCGGTGTTTTATGAGGTTGGTTGCATGTTCAATTTATGGCCAGTCCTTCATACCCAGCAGCGGGGATGTTCGCACCTCTCGAAATTGCTACATGATCTGGATGGTGCGATCCGATTCCCTTCAGTGTGGTGATGGATCCCACGCTCCTGACTCAATTGCGAGCGCACATCCTGAGCCCATGAGGGCAATTCAGACACCCGCATTGCACATATCGATCTAAATGGTGATCATGCTTCACATGCTGAACTAGCTTAAGACCATCCCCTCAGGTACTACAGGGTCTGGAATCCACGGACCCCCCGTCCAGCAAGCCCAGGGTCTACAATCAGGGGCTTTTTGATATTAGACCTTTTTCCTCTGCTGGGACTCTAGACCCTCTAACTTGTGCTCCTAAGATTTGGCCACGAATTCTTCGCGTTCTGACCAAGGGGCCACCGCAACATGTTTTTGCAGAAAAATGAACCTAAAGTGAGGGCAAAACAAAATGAAATGTCTTCTGCATACTGAGGATGCTTTTCAAATAACAGTTTATCGGGTTGAGGCTCTTGGGTGTATTTGTGCGCGGCCTCCCTCAAATTTGTTTCTTTCATGCTACAGCGCGCAAAAGATGCTTTACAATAATAATC